GTGAGCTAAAAACCCCATCTACTGGCCCTGTCTGTTTGTTTATTTCGAAGAACTGGGGGCTAGCGGAGTCACCCCACCTGTACATTCTTCTTGTTTAGGGGATCTATTTCTAAATGGCCACCGCTGTCCCACCTCCAGCCTCCGGCTCTACTGCGGCCACCGAAAACCCGAGTCCCGGATCCAGCAGCTCCGCTGGGGCCGCAAATGGCGTGGCACGGGCTGGCCCCGAAAGTGGCAGCCAGGACAGCACTTTCGAGTGTAATATTTGTCTGGACACTGCTAAGGATGCAGTGATCAGCCTGTGTGGACACCTGTTCTGGTAAGACATTGTTTGTTTGTCACTCATGTTTACAGTTTTGCATTATAAACCACCTCAGTGTGGACGGCAAAGTAAGAGTTTCATTGTACAGAGAAACACGTTTCCTCACTGTGCATATGACAAACACTTGACTTGACCTGACCAGTGGGTATTACGGCCACATGCAGCTAAGAGGGCAGCCCAAAACCCAGCTTTTGTGAGACTGTTTGTAATCTAGCTAATCTGTGTATTATTAAACAAGAGAAAAACAAGAGGTACAGCAGTTTATTGCCACACTTGGAAAAAACTTTTCTCAAAGAAAACAACCATTATGTTGCTGACATCTGGCCATTGATAAAGCTGCATGTTGTCTTTACACTAAGGGTAACATTAAAGCAGTGTCTTGGTGTATACAGTATTTAAAGACCACCTGGTATGTATGAAAAGATAAGACTTGTGCTAATACTGGGACATTTATGAAAATGCATTTTTGCACCATATTGGAGAAAAAATAACGATTGACATTTGCTTCAAAAACATATCTATGCAGCACTTCTCTATAATAAATGAATGCTTGTACTACATGACTTGTATTACTGTTTACATCTTTCCTACTTTGATTTTGGTGAAGAGAATATTTTTGGGCCTAATTCTGTGAAATAGTGTGTAACTACAAGCCTAGAGCTAACAGTGTGATGTAGCACATGTGCAAGCAAACATGATCAAATGTTAATTTGATAATATCTGTAGCCAGGTCCACCTCTTCAAACATTGTATATCTCCAGTCAGACTGTTGTTCAGGCCAGGTCTGATATCATGGTTGACAACTGGGTGAGTTCATTATTTTCAAAGAGAAGTTAAATCCCAAAGAAGGAAGACATTTTCTTTGGTGTCCCCTTTTCTGTAGCAGCAGACTACCCCTTATCTTTTATTACTGATGTGTGGATGTCATTTCTGGTCAGTGTATACTGTAAAACAGTCAGGTTGTTTTAGGATGTATGTAATGCTTCACTAATCAAACCTCTTCCCTGTCCCAACACCTCAACTCTCATCTTCCTTGGAATCTTGATCAGCTGGCCTTGTTTGCATCAGGTAAGCTGAACATATTTGTTTCCCCATCTAATTTTTATTAACAATGTAACAGAAGCAGTCAGTTCCTTAATATCTCTTTGCCTTTATCCAGTGGCTGGAGACCAGACCGAACAGACAAGTGTGTCCAGTTTGTAAAGCTGGCATTAGCCGAGACAAAGTTATCCCCTTGTATGGACGGGGGAGTACAGGTCAACAGGACCCCAGGTGGGTACTTTACTAAAGCTGTTAGGGGTCAGACAGTTTCTAAACTTTGTGCATTTGTAAAATGTTATTAATATACAAACATTGCAAATGAGTCCAATGATTGCTTTTATAGAGAAAGAACACCACCTCGACCACAAGGGCAAAGGCCTGAGCCAGAAAATCGCGGGGTAAGTACTATGCACAAGCACACCACAAGTAGTGGTAATAATAATGTGGTAATAACAATTACCATAAGTAGTGGTAATGACAAAATATACGATTTCATGATTTTGATTTTAAACATGTCAGGCAGCTGCGTGTAGATTAGACCACCTCTGAGAAATTCCTCAGTGCAATGCAGCTTTAAGGGTAACATTATGCATTCATGATGAAACATTTACATGGAATGATGTAGGTGCTGTGGTGCAAGCCTGTGCTTTATTCATAAGCAACAGGACATTTCCCATTGGGATCTATTAGATGCTGAACACTGACTTGCAAGTGTCACTTGAGAATGACCACAAATTGCACTACCTGTTGCGTCACATCTTGCTTAATGTACCTAAGATAGTGATAAAGAGAATCTCCACACATTTTTAATGATGAAACATGTTTTACAGGGATTTCAAGGATTTGGATTTGGAGATGGGGGTTTCCAAATGTCATTTGGGATCGGTGCCTTTCCATTTGGTATTTTTGCTACAGCTTTTAACATCAATGATGGACGACCTCCTCCAGGTATTTGTTAATGCACTTTTACACAGCATGACCACTCTGTTTGTCAACAACAGATCAAATAACCTCTGTGATACAATTTCCCAAACAGCGGCGCCTGGGACGCCACAACACACGGATGAACAGTTTCTGTCTCGACTCTTCCTCTTTGTTGCTCTGGTGATTATGTTTTGGCTTCTGATTGCATAACTGCTTAAATTAAGCGAAAAGATTTGACAAGGATGAGACATTATGGTATGTTGTCACAGTTTAAACCAGCCCAACTTTGCCGCTATGCTTTTTTTTTTTTTGGTTCCTCGATTATTTTTTTGAGAGATATGAATGAAAATCTGTGAAAGACAGCATTTAAGGTGAATCTCACAACCTTGGTTGTCTGACATTTAAACTCATTAACACAGTTATGTAGTGTGCTTCAGAGTAGCACACTCCTCATATTTCCTTCACTCAGAATTTATGCTTCTTTTCTTTACCTCTGAGTATCTGCCTGCTCTGTGAAATCAAAACAAAATCTAAATTGCCACTTTTTTTATATGAGATTTAAAAGAATTGTATTGATGCATGTAAGCAGTTAAAAAATTCATGAAACAGTGTTCCTCTCCAAATTGTAACATCTTTTATTTTGCTCAATTTACTGAACATATGCCACTGTAATTAAATGTAAAATACTGTTTTATTACAGAGTGAGAAACAGAGGTTGGTTTAAATTGAAACCACTTCTCTAAAGGTGAATTTACTCTGGTAACTGTTAAGCTCTGTAAATAAATGTCAGTCATTATCTGCCTGTTTTCCTATGAAAATCTATTTTTCAAAGTCAAATCAAAGTAGTTTAATAATTAAACGACTTTAGATACTGAGAGCTGTTGAATGGTCAAACCTTTGACACCATATCTGGACTGTGTTAATTTTCGTTTCTGTAAGAGGGAAAGAAATGGTCAGTGTTCGCCTTTATATCATTTAAGCTTGTGTTTTCAAAAGGTGGTTGTGGGCCTTGTAGAGTGGCGGTTTTTGGCATAGGTGAACCGGGCAGCTGTCTGGGGCGGCATTTTTTCATGACACCTGGGTGGCGGCACAAGCACTTGGAAAGAAAATAATCTGCGCCGCTAAGCGGTTTTCTATTATCTATCATATGTGGCGCCCCTGCTTGATGAGAAGGTGCCGTGCACAGAAGCTGTATGAGAGGAGGAAGAGGGAGGGGAGTAATTCAATGTAGAACCGCCACTGGCCTTGTAAACTGCTTGTTATTTCACATGAAAAAGGGATGCACTTCAAACTTCAAACCATTTTGTGCTGTAAAAAAATATATAGATATTTGGTCATTTTGTGGTAGAAGCTGTTAGAAAACAGTTTAATGTACAAAAAAAGTCAATTTGGCCTAGTCTGGCGTTTCTGGCCCCGTCGATTTCTCTTTAGATTCTGGTTGTGCAACATTGAACTCTGCTTCATACATAATCTGCTGTATCTTTATTTTTGTCTCGCACCTTTTCTGTGGAGCAAGCCGCTTCAGAGCAGGGACAAAGCTCAAGAGAAACAGTTCATCCTCATCCCGTGGCCTGGTGGGAAATGAGGTGCCATTGTCCTTGACCAGCCATTTTGTAGAGGAAGGTGTACTTTGAGAAGAAGGCGGTGAAAGCTGCTCTTGCATCAAGCGCCGTTTCTTTCCAGTTTTGCTGATGGCGGTGATCTGTGTACTTGATGGTGACTTGGCCGTAACAGCCAACTGGGCCATCTGTGTGTCTTGAGATATTGCAGGGAGTTGTGTCCCAAACACTACCTGGGTCTTGATGTCAGGTTGACTAGCAGGGACCTTCATGATGGACTGTGATGTCTTGACTGCCTCAGATGATGCGGTTTCTCCCTCTGCACTGCCAGATTCGTTGTCAGGATTGTCGTCATCGTCATTGTTGCCACAGATGTCTGCCCCTCCACTTCTTGATCCAGTGAAGGGAGCGATAAAATTCATAAGTTGTCTATATTTCCATCTACTCTGTACAAGATCTCCTTGCTTCTTGCTTTTGATCTCCATTCGGACTTCCTTCAAGTACCGGTCCCTCATGTTCTTCCATTTTCTTTTGCACTCCTCAGCTTGAAAAATTAAAATAGAGCATAAGAAGTGAGAAATCACTAAAATTCAGCTGTTTCCTACAGACAAGAATGAGAGAAAATTATAACAACAACAGATAAAATAACTCAGGCTTTGAGAAGCGGCAGCAATTGCCAATTATGTTCATTATTGATTTAACTACCTTCTCAGTTAATTGATGAAATATTTGAGCTATAAAACCTATGATTAATTTTCTGTTGATTGATTAATCAACTACTTGTTTCACCTGTAGTGCTGATTATTGGGTTTTATTCTGTATTATTATTATGAATATATTTACAATATATTCAGTGGTCCCTAAAATCATACAATAAAATTAACAGCACCTGTAAAGTTTTTAACGAGATGAACAGTATAGTCTTATTAAATGTAAAATGTGTGGCAGTTATGTTGCATTGGAATGCACTGAATGGTTTAGGTGAACCTAAAAGTGCGTAAGCTGCAGTAACTATATAGGGTAGCCCCATTAAATCCTTTAAGACCCTACTTTATCCAAATAAGTAAATAGTTAATTTTACTTGAGGCTTAAATTATAAGTACTTCTAAACTTACACAGAGAAATGAAAAAAGTAATTGTCTGTATTTTATTTATTTTTCCTTGGTGTTGCCGCGCCACGTTTGGAGGTCCCGGTTTAGTTTTATGCACCGGCCACGACTCCGTGCACCTGGTTGTATTTCAGGCTGGGGGCCTCCGCGTCTTTTGCTCGTGGGGCTGCTGCCTCTTCACGACACTTCCAGAAGCTTTCGGTTTATATACGCCTCACGGTGTTAACGAGCGAGGCGACGAGCACGCGATTCGGTAAACACGGCAGGTCCATGATGCTGAGCATGTGTCTTCTTCCGCCGTACTGTGTTGGACACGCGGCTGGCG